ATATATATATATATATACATATATATATATCTTCACCACTGGGTCTCCCTGCTCTCTTCCTTCATAGGCGGGGTGGGGTGTGCAGGTACCCCAGGAGAGCTGAGGGGCAAAACATCTGGAGGGTGGGGGAAAACAAATCAGAGCGAGGACAGGAAAGCAGTCCTCAGGAGGCCAGGCCACCGCCGCCCATGATGCAGGCTGGGCTCCGATGAAGGACAGGCCGCCTTGGGGAAGAGAAAGAATAGCAACAGTTCCAGATGCTGCACTCTGGAATCTTTCATCTCCCTAACCTTTCACAACAGGACTTTGAGGTAGTAGGTCTTGTTATCGCCATTCGATGAATGTGGAAACAGGCGTACAAAGGCACAGTGCCTGCCCGAGTGGAAAGACAGAAAGCCAGCCCTCGCTTGCTGCAGACTCCCTGAACCAATTTTTGTGATGCATTTCCCTGGGTTCTTCTTGGTGATCTCAGGAGCTGCCAGAAGCGGAGGCTTAGCTCCTCCCTGACGACCTCGCAGACCATGTTCTGAGACATATATGGACAGATATCTTATTAGCAAGCCAGCATGTGGTCTTGTGGTCATTCCACAGGGTCCATGAAGTTCCAGCTCCGGCAGCCTGGGTGTTTCCAATAGCGCCTTGAAGCTCAGAAGCCCTGCCGTGGCCCCTTCTAGTCACTACATCCCTTCCCCACGAGGGCAACCACTCGGCTGATTTCTAGCCCCACAGATGACGCCTTGCTTCTCTGCACAAATGGAATCGCACAGTCTGTGTACTCCTTTGTGCCAGCTTCTTAAACGCTATGGTATGTGGTGCGAGTCACCTGCCTTGTTGCACATAGTTGTAAATCATTTGCGGCTACCTAGTATTCTGTTGTGTGACTACTCCACAATTCACTTCTTACTCCACAGCTGCTAGACTCTGCTGTTGAGTCTAGGGCATTCGTATTTGGCTTTAGCAGCCTTTGAGTAGCCAGAATTTTTCACAGCGGTACCATTTTATCCTCAAACCAGAAACACCGAACAATCCAACTGTTCTGTGTCCTTCATGAAACTTGATATGTCTGCCTTTTGGAGTTAGTCATCCGGGCAGGTGTGCAGTGGTATCACACTGATTTAAATTTGTGCTGCCCTGATTACTAGGGGAGGAGAAGGCTATTTTCTTACATTTTGGATTTTTTTTTTCTTTTCAACGTGGAGATTTGTCTCTAAATCTCTCTGCCCATCTATTATCCCAAATATATCACCAACGTCACCTTTCTAACATTCTTTGTGCTAGTTAACAAGTCACCATTTTCCTTGAGAAAATATGTTCCTGGAATTCCTTATGCCAGTGACAAACCTCCAGGTGTCGATGGCAGATAAGAGGGCAGAAGCACTTGTGGTAGGCTGCTGAAAACACACTATGCGATCAGCTGTCCGTCCCTGGAGGAGGGGTTCTGATGGGCACGGCCGTTCCATTCTTCAGGTATCGCTTACAAACAGTGTACCCTAAGGGTAGTATCACCGCCGAGGCTGAAGTACTCTCAAGTAAGAAAGAGGCTTCGTAGTACATCTAAGCCTTCCTTCCACGCCCATCTCTCTGCCGCTGGAAGTGCCACGTCACGTGGCTCAGTGCTCTTATCACATGGGGCTCTTTAGGCCGCTGCTCACCCAAGCGCTGGACTCTATTCAGGTACAAGGAAATGGAGAAGGGGCCATGTGCTCATTGGTTCTATGAGAAATCTGTTAGATGGTCAGTTTTTCAGAAAACTGAAACGCAGGCTTTCCTGAAGCGGCTCTGGAGCCGTCTAAGCCTCGCCAGGAGCCAGCGTGCGGGGCCTCCTGGAACAGATCTACCAGTGCTGGGCTTTCTCTCCTGGAACGTGGCTGGGGGTGGGGAGAGAGGTTCTGAACCGGGGATGCTGACCAGCCACTGACCTTTCTTGTAGCTGCAATGCGATTGGCGGAGTATAGAGATTTGGGAGGATGAGGTTTCTCATCTCCGGGACTTTGTAGCTGTCTCTTCTGGGCTACCAGGCAAGGGAGGTGTAGGCTGGTCAGATTTCAGTCAGTTCAATGCTTGGAGACATCTTGTGACCTCTCCGGAATGGCTCCTTGTGTGTCTTCTGACTTTTAGGTGAATTCATAAGACAGATAAGCTGGCAAGAAGTTTGCTTTTCCTTGGTCGCTTACCTAGAAATTTGCCTGCATCGAGGGAGGAAAGTATGTGCTGTATACAACGTTCCTGTTGAGATGGATCTGGAAGTCCTTTGCTACGTCTCCAGGCAGGCAGGCAACATTGCCAAGGGGAAACTGAGAGTACATTCAGGGTGACATACCATAGTCATTGGAGGGCTTACGAGGAAGTGCCCTCCCTTCCCCTGAGGATGACAGATGGTAAGACTGCAATCATTTCCACAACTTGGAAGGAAGACAAAGTTTTGGTTAACTGAAATTTGTGGTATACTCCAGAGTGTACTTACGCATTTCAAGTGTTCTGGAAAAATCTATGTCAGAGAAGGAAGAGGAGGAGCCTTGCAAAACCAGCAGCGCGACATGAACGGAGTGGCCATAAAGAGCTCCAGAACAAAGGAGGACCTGGAGAGCCCAGGGGCCACTGTGATGGCCACGAACCCTGGCCGAGCAGGGAAGGTGGGCACGCGCTAAAGCTCAGAGTGACCAGTGGTGCCCCAGGCCAGCCTGCAAGGGGCCTGCCATCTTGAAGGAGCTTCCTGGGCTCCAAGAGCCTGAAGTTCTGAGCAGTCAGCCTGAGCCTGAGTCCTGGCAAGGCTTGAATCCACGCCTAGGTTTTGGAATTTGGAATCTCTGATGCACGAAAGGCACAAAGCTTTATTGGTGCCATGCTGCTGCTTACAAAGAAGATTAAAAAAAAAAAAAATCACTGGATCCGAGAAATAAGATTTAACGCCATTGTATTTATTAGGTTCTGAAACAATACACATTCACATCCTTTTGAATACAGTACATTTGGCACAATAATGTTTACAATGAAATAACACTAATGAATGGCAAGAGATTAAAATTACATCCAGAAAGGAAAAAAAATGTACAAATAAAGCATCACAATACAAAAAAAAACCCTAAAATCGAATACATTTTATATTTAGCCAGAATTATTTTGCACATAATTTAAAAAGAGGTAATTTTTTAGCCTTCTTTTTTTTTTTTAAAGCAAGAATGCATTTTGTTTTTCACCTTTGGAGGAAAAAACGATGTTTCCACTTCACAAAGTCCATAATGAGAGAACACAGGAGAACAGCTATCCTTCATATATTTTTTGGCATTTTTTTGTTTTGCACTCAAGAGCTGGATAGATTAGAAAGAAATGTAATAGTGTGTCCGCTTCCTAAGCCTCGTGAAAATTGAAATGAAACAATGAGTACTCAAGGAACACACAAGCTGTTTTCTACAGACGACGTGGGATTTGAACCCGCCTGTGCGAGAACTGGATCAGCTCCGGCCCCGAGCAGGAGGCAAACCAGCCAGCCCAGCTCTGGTGCCGGAAGGGGGCATCTCTGGGCCAGGCACCCCGCAAACGACTGCCTGGAGCTGCCGGGTGGAATGTATTATTTGACTTCCCAGCCAAAATGCCAGTTGTCCCGCAGGAAGGGCCCGAGCCCTGCTGACATGGGACCGCCGCCGAGGCCTTGGAGCAGGCTGCTCGGCATTGCAGGTAGAGCTTGCTTAATTGTTCCAAGTTCACCGTGGTGAAGGAAGCAGAGGAGAAACAGCGCAGTAGTGATACATGAGGATGATGGGCAGTATTGTCATGTCTTCTTAAAAACTGAGATGATGCCACCATGAAGATGTTTCTGTGCTTGTACTCAACTCCAGAAGATAGTCTCTCCCCCCAGCATGTCAAGTTACCGAAGATAAATTAAATTAACCTGTTCTCCATCAGTCACTGGTACGCCAAACACGCAAATGGATAGAGTGTAATATTTCAGAGTATCGTAAGAACGGATCATAACTACACCTGAGTTTTTAAAAGAACAAAAACAAAAGAAAACCAAACGTCGCCCTTTGTGGTAACAAAGGCTGCGGCCAGCCAGACGCAACTATGGACACCGACTTTCTATGGGCTCAAGCTGGTCACCGTCCAAGCTTTGAAACCACCAGTGAAAACATTCCTTTCTCTCCCCCATCCCTCTCAGGGCATAATAGAGCACAGGAGAACCGTATGTGAGATTTAATGTAGCTTACTCTATGTTTATGTCTTTTGAAAGAAACCAGAGTGAAATAAACAATACAAAAAAGGACTCCTCCCCGTCCTCAAAAAAGAAACATACCTTATCTCTCGGTAACTTGAACCACTATGCTTACAGAGTATTGCACCTGGACATTATTATAATTATTCTTTCATAGACTAAAGTTTTATAATATGCCTGAACATGCAGCAGTTGATACCTCTAAGTTCAATGAATTAATTCCACAGGCCTTGCAGCAAACACTATATACAAAAATCTCAAATGTACAAAAGGCAAAAAGCTTCATTGGTGCCACTTTGCCACTCACACGTATATATATTTAGGGGCAGCTGGGAGATCCACGTGCAACGGTTGGAATGGATTCCATTCCCTGCTGAATTGGTTCAGGAAAATAGATAATCAAATAACCTCCGGGAAACATATACACAAAGCCACAGAGAACCCTTGGAAATCAGAGAATGTAACACTGTTAGCATATCTACAAGGAGGTAACATCACATCCATTAAATAGTGTCCACACGAGTTGCCATTGCATGTCACACAGAAACAAAATGCCAAGTACATCTTGCCACATGGTCAGTTTGCAAACAAAGTTGCGCTTCGGTCTCTGGATTCCCTCCGCATCACCCACGTCTAGCCTCGTTCTGCTTGCTCCAAAAGCAGAGATTTCATATTTAACCTTACATGTTTAATGTCTAAAAACCACGACACAGTAGTACTACCTTTTTTTTTTTTTTTTTTTTTTTTTTTGTAGAAGTGCGCAAAAGTAACACACCGTTGCAGGAAATAAATAGAGTGTGTGCTGGGCACTCGGAACACAACTGGAAAGAGAAGTTGGGAGTGAGTTTTCCTAGGACCTCAGGGTCTTGGCCATTGCTGCAGTGGCCTCTGTGTTCAGGCAGAACTTGAAGGCGAGGAGCACTACTTGTTTTCTTCTCTCCCCATTCAGCCAGCCCCCGCGTGCCACAAACTACAAAAACATTAATAGTATCAACCCCGGACAGTTGGTTTCTCATTGTATAATAGCCCTTTAATGTCTACCTGCATTTAATATTGGAATTTATATCTTTTGGCCGATTAGAAAGCCAATTTGATGATATACTTTTCAAATGTTAATCGAGTTCAAAATCCGATTTCTTTTTCTACAAAGAGTGATTGCTTTCTTTCACGAGATACATGCTCTCACGACTTTGCCATGCCCAAAAGCTACAACCGAAGCAAGCAAGAATTGGCCATTGTGGAGCAAACCAACACACTCAGCCGGCCCGCGCGCCTCGCAGTCTGCCTCTGTCACAGCGCGCCCACCCCCGTGCCGAAGAAGCACCTGTCTCTCCTGGACAGAAGGGCGCGGCGGGGCAGGCTCTCAAAAGTGGGAGCCTCAGAACCGAGGCTCTCAGAAGTGAGAGTGATCGGGCCCCTATGTCCAGAAGCACGGCCGCGGTCTTCTCGTTTGCTTTCCTTGTTGCTCTTAGAGCTGAAGCCACCTCGCTGCCAGGAGCCCCCGAGGGGTGGAAACAGGCTTTTGCCAACAGACCAAACGCGGAGCGTGTCCAGCCGACCGCTGACCCCACGCGATTCTGCGTCACTGGTGAGACAAAAGCCAAGAGTGCCTTCTGGTCCCGGCTGGAAGGGGGAGGAGCCGGCCTGGGGTAAGGGGATGCAATAAATAGAGGGTAGACGAAGGACTGGGGCTCTGGAGAACAGGAGAAACAGTTCAAGGCCTTCTGAGCCTCCAGAACGAGGGCTCTTCTCGGCACCCCTTGCTGCAGCATCACCAAGCTCCACCTGGAGCAGCTTCTCAGGGCATCAGGTCTTCACCAAAGTAGGAGAAGCCTTTGAATTCCTCCTGGTTGATCTGCTTCACGATTGCTTCGTCCACGAGCGTGAGGACGGGCTCTTCCCGGGTAAAGTCTTGGTCAAAGTTATTGACGTCTCTTTTGGTTTTCTGTGAGGAGAAAAGAGAAAGCACTGACTCTAGGCTGACCTTCCTCCCCGGGCCCCCCCCACAGGGAGTGGGCATCACACCGACCAGCCTCTCACCAAAGCAGGCCTCTAGCTACTGAGAGAAGACACGGGCTGCTCCAATGAGGTCACGACGGACGGCCCCAGGACCAGGAGGTGGCGGAGGACTTGGAAAGGAAGAACGAGTCCAGGTGAGAGGGAAGACGGGGGTGAGGGGGGATGATGGAAAAGCAGGGAAGTGGGATTCCCACCGACTGCCGTGTGGGGGTGGAGCGCGTGTGTTTGGGAGAGTGGGAGGCAAAGCTCCCACCCCACACTCCTCCTTCCAGTCCAACCCTCTGGCTCCATCGAGACCTCCATTCCTGTGACCCAGGGAACAAACTTGAATCTCCTTCCTATAGAGTCTCCAGTGGTCTTTCTTCTCTAGAGGTAGACCTCCATAACCTTGCCAGGTCTGCTCCATATGACCTCTTCTAGGTGGGAGGATGAGTGGGTGGCGGCAGGGGACGTCTTCTGGGAAGCCTGCCTCGATCCCTACTTGCATCCACCTCGAACCCTACTTTGTGCTCCTACGTTCTTTCCGTGATTATAGTCACCACGCTGACTTGCAATGAGTTGTGAGCGTTTGTCTTGAACAAGAGCTCTTTAAAGGCAGGGGCCTTGTCTTCTTCAACCTCAGGTTCCCTACAATAAGCATCTACTGGATGAATGCCCATGGGAAAGGACCCACCACTGCACTGACTCCCCAGCCCAGAAGGACCCATGCCCAGTTAGAGACTCAAGTTCCCAAAATAGGGCTTATGGTCCATGGGGAAGAGCAGCAAACAAACAAATCCTGGCTTTTGGAGAATACCTGGAAGTATAAATAATGCTCTCTCTGCCCTTTCAGGACTTCCAGTCGATCTGGGAGCCCATGCTGCTGTCTAGAACACACACTGCAATAGTTAGGAAAACATCCATGGAGAAGTCGGGACTTGGCTGGGGCTTGAAGAATGAGTTACGGTCGTGGTGACAGAGATGGGAAGAAGTCACCTTGGCAGGGGGAGAGGCGGGTCAAAGATGGGGGGCGGTGGGGAGGCAGGAACACGGAAGATGTAGAACAGGACAATGGGTCCACCGAGCTGCCTGGGGTGGAGTCCGCCATGAGGATGGAGGGAGGCAGGGCGAGTCTGACTGCAGAGGCCTTCGACGCCAGCCCCCTCACCCCGCACGACATGGCACAATGCCCGGAGGATTGACGGAGCCCCTACAAATACCCTTTCAGGCGCTGATTAGCTGGTGTTACCCGGGATTAGTGGCCTGGACGATGGAATAAACCTTGTGGAAAGATTAGCATTATTACTTGTAGGAGGAATACTATTCATAGATGCTTTGTCCTGGGGAAACTAGTAACCTAAAAGATGTTAATAAGTACTCCAGGAAAAAGGTGGGTTTGAGACAAAGCCCTTTCTGCACCCTTCTCTTGGAGGTTGGTCACGTATGATGGCAAATTAAAGGCTCCAAGATGTCACGGAGTCAAGAAACCTGGTTCACTTTGTTTACAAGAGACTTCCTCAAACTTGACGTGAAGCTTTTCTTTTCCTGAATAGTTTTGTTCTTGTTTTTTGGTTTTTGGTTTCATGTATTTATTTTGAGAGAGACAGAGAGAGAGCACATGTGCAGGGGAGGGGCAGAGAGAGAGAGAGAGAAGAGACAGAGAAGGGAAAGAATCCCAAGCAGGCTCCTCCATGCTGTCAGCACAGAGCCTGATTAGGGGCTCAATCCCACGAACCGTGAGATCATGACTGGAGCTGAAATCAAGAGTCGGACACTCAAACAGCTGAGCCACCTAGGTGTCTCTTTCCTGAACAGCTTCGTAACATCTGTCTCAATGCAGAGTCCTGCGGGACATGGTTTGGGAACTGTGGTTTTATAGTATATGAAACACCTTCCCATTTGTTTCCTTGTTTGATCCTTAAAACAGGCAGGTATTATTATCCTGATTTCACAGATGAAGAAACTGTGGTTCAAAGAGATTTGGTGACTTGACCAGTGTCACCCGACTAGTTAAGAGCAGAGCCGGATTCAAATCCAGATCCCTGCATGATGCTGCGTGCATAGAATGTCTGGAAAGCTGGACACCAGAGCAATGGAACGACATGGGAAGGATCAAAGTCCACCAGAAGACGTTCAGGCCAGACTGCCAGGCCTGGAGCCAGAAGGGCTTGCCAGTGGGCGAGCGTGGCAGGAGAAGCTGTGGGTCGGGGCGAGAGTGGGTGACCTGTACTGGGCGAGCATGTGTTCAGATCATCCCAGACTGAGATCAGAATCAGGACGACAGCCCAGAGCAGGGAGGAGTGGATCTTTCCACCCCATCAGTCCTGCTTCGTGTCTTTCCTCTGGGCTTGAGCTGCATAGTTGAGTAGGTCTCAGAGACCTTGGAGGGGAGACAGAAGGGAGATACAGGAAACCTAAGGGATGGGAAAAGGACCCGAAGGGTGTGCGTGTTGCCCTTGAGATGGGGAAGCTGAGAAGTGGCCTAAGTCACTCTGCCAGGAGGGCTGGCTCCCGGGCAGGAGGGCGATCTGTCTCCGTATCCACTGTGTACAGGACAAGAGGAAAAGGGGGCCCTGTGTGGACGGGGGCTTCAGAGAGAAACACCAAAGCCCATCTCCACAGTGACCGGGGAGGACCAGTGACTGGGGAAAGGGTGTGATGGCGCCTCTTCTGAGCATCTCTGTCCAAGGAGGGATGGGCTCACTGACTGAGGAGGGGGTTGCAGAGTATGGGCCTGCTGTGCCAGATGAAATGAGTCTAGAAGGAGGAACAGGGTGGGGAGGAGTGACTTGGGAAGCACTGAGCCTTATCCCAGAAGCTGACCAAGGGATGTCCTCAATGGGGGGCAGGGGAGGCGGAGACCCGCAGAAGGGGCGGTAGCTGGACGAAGAAGAGAGGCAAGGAATGGGGTGGGAGAAAACTCAGTCGGTAACATCACCAAGGCTGGGCCACGCTGGGGTCTTCAGTATCTGCAGAAGCAGGACACCAATTTCCCGGCTCCCTCTCACCGCTCACAGATGAAGGGAGCATGCGTATAGAGAACCTTGGGAAATCTGTAGCTGCTCGGGCACTGGGTCTCCCTGTCCGCCTACTTGTTTGTGACCCTTCAGCCATTAGTGTCCCTGGAAACTGGTTTCATTTCCCGAGGCTGGCTCAGCGTAGTGACGGAGCTGGATTCCACCAGATGTCCGAATTTCACCACTCACTGTTATGTACCAGGCCACCAGGTTCGGTCGGCACAGCCAGGGATGTCCTTCCCACAGGACCCCTAGCTCCATTTCACGCTAGTCTGGGGTGCCACCAAGGCAGCTCTGGGCTCTCCAGGGGTCACAGAATCATGGGTGGCATTTCAGTGACTGTACCATTCTTTAAGAATTCTAAGGAAAGACATACTTGGCTTGCCCACCCCCTTATCCAAACTGGCACAGGCCCTGTTTTCTTTGGAGACATTTTGGGTGTCAGTTACTCATTTCCAGCTCCAAAAGCCAACATCCTCACTATGTGCAGTTCCTGACCATTAATCTTAGAGACGTGTGAAGTTTTCCAAAGCAAGTATCTCTGGGAAACACCATTTCCTACTATTAGCACATAGACAGCATAGCATCCTCAAATTTGGAGGGGGTTGGGCATTATATCCTTTATTCTCTGATTTTATTCTTTGAAAAGCTGCTGTCTCGCTCTGGGCAAGCACAAGACTCAACTCCAAGGTTCAGATGGGCAAACCCCAGAGACATTCCCTATTTACCTAGATCCTCAGTCTTCCCACATGCCTCCCCTGAAGGCTAAATGTTAGACTCTTAGCCCACAGTGTGGAGCCTGAGAGGTGACCCTGGGGCCTCTTCAGACTTTGTCTCCTTCCTGAACCCCTTCCTACATGCCTGTCCCACACTTGGGGGGGGGGCGCGACACGGAGGGGGACAGAGAGCACTAGCTGACCTCTTATCCCGGTACTTCCCCTTCCTGGTTACATGACACTGTGAGGTCCCTATTTGAGACTTAGTTTTTTTCATCTGTAAAAGGGAGGTAGTAACAGGCACTCTATAGGTTGCCGTGAGGACTCGATGTCACATGTTAGGTGCCTCAGTGCAGACTCCAACATGTAATGGGAACCCAATAAATGTGCCTCCAAGTCTTGGCACCTTTGTGCCTTGGGCACACGTCATAGACACCTTGGTTGTTACCCAACACAGTCTGTATGATCTGCCCATTGATGCCATGAGCTTCTCGAAGGAGGGACTGAGTCTTATATTTATCTGTATGCCTCCAAGGGCTGAACTAGTGCAGAGCTAGGGTCCACCTGAACATCCCAGTGCATTTTCCGGAGATCGAGATGCTTCTAATGGCACCTGACTGCCCTTGGGCAAAGTCCCAGGGTCTTACAGTCCTCTACTTCTAAGGCCCTCAGGGTCGCATCCCCACCTAGCTCCCCACTGCTTCTGGGCCCTGCTGGACCATGAGGTTCTCCGGACTCACTGGCTTCCCTTGACTCCAAGTCTCTGCCTGGAAACCCCTCTCCTACTCCCACCTCTGTCCCATGTCCTCGATACCCCACTGAGTTATTCACCTTTCCCAACCAGGCTTAGATGTCCTTCCTTCAAGCAGCCTTCCTGTCTTTCCACCCCTCTTATGGGCACCCCATCATCTCTCTTTTTTTTTTTTTATGAGAGAGAGAGAGAGCACGTGTGAGAGCAAGCATGAGAGAGAGAGAGAGACAGAGAGAGAGAGTGAGAGAGAGTATATGAGAGACACAGCACTAAAGCAGGAAAAGAGGGACAGAGGGAGAGATAGAATCCTAAGCAGGCTCCACACTCAGCACAGAGCCTGATGTAGGTCTGGATCCTACGACCCCAGGATCATGACCTGAGCAGAAACCAAGAGTCAGATGCTCAACCACCCAGGCGCCCTCTCCTAACTTATCACAGCCCTGATCATACGTATCCTCCTCCT